CTCTGTTTGACTATATACAGTCAAACAGGGCTATATATATATCGTCACAAACAGATATATATATATATATTGTTTTCCTCGGCCGGGCAACTCGCCCCGGGTCACTCTGGTATCCTAGCTTGATACACAACAGAGCGCAGACCAAGCTTGTCAAAATACAGACCTCAGTTCGAATCCCACTCGGCAAGTAAAAACAAACAACAAACAAACAAACAAACAAACAAACAAAAAGAACAAAAAGAACAAAGAAAAACCCAAAAAAACACAACTTAGCCGGATACACAACAGAGCGCAGACCGAGCTTGTTGAGAAATGTAAGATTCCTCTTGTTCGGGTATCCCGACCTGTAAACCCCCTTGTCTACCATAGCAAAATTAAGGGGAGGGATGAACAGCTCTTCGCACATTGAACCTGGTCCACCTGCTCGAGAAGACGACCACAGCACACCAAAGTTGAAACCCGAACATGTCACTTAGGTCCATGGACGGTGGAGGATCCACATATGGCACAAACGAGAGACCTATAACCGACATATCACATATATAGCATCAACACAGTGCCATCCACCGCAATTCCGGCACCGAAGGAGGAGGAGGACAACAACAACAACGATGTCTTCGAAAGAAGAAGAAGAAGAAGAAGAAGAAGAAGAAGAAGAATTGAAGTAGCAAGGGCGATCTCTTGGTCCTTGCACGGCCAGGACGCCCGGGAAAGCCGAAAGCCGGGCCGCCCGGGAAAGCAGGGTGTCCCGGGCGGGCCGGGAGGTGGCCTTGAAAAAATCCAAAAAAAACTACATTATGCAGAAAAATAAACTGAACAATYTTTTTTTTTTTTTTTTAACACCAGAAGGAGTATTTCCATTACAAGCTGGGAATTGGGCCCAGTGTCCCTCACATGAATAGCTATGGGCCACAAGGATAAGCCACAGGGTTACATCAAAATTCTTTGAATTAAAATAATATATATATTTTTTATTATTTTTTGCCCCGGCGGGGCAAGTGGCCCCGGCTGGGCAAGTGATCAATAAAAAGTTTATTTCTTACCTTTTTTAAGTTTTATTTTTATTTAAATTTGGTAAAGACTTTCGATGTATTCGTGAGGCAAAAGTTGTTCAGTTTATTTTTCTGCATAACTAGTTTTTCGGATTTTTTCTAGGCTACCTGCTGAGCCGCCTGGGTCGCCCTGGAGGGAGATCCCACTACCCATGGATTTGGATTAGTGTGACGGGTGTGGGACGGGTGGGGGACAGGTGGGTGGCAGCGTGAAATAGGGAAAATAAATGCAAAAAACCATTTCATGAACAAACAAATGAAGGAATAAAATCAAAAAAAGAAAAGAAAGTGCTCTTCTCACAGATGGTGTCTGCTCCAGCCGGGGTGTCAGATGTCAGGGCATGATTCACTGACCATGGCTTGGCAGTCGAGACAACTGCATGTGAGCCGGCAGATGGACCATATTCATTGACAATACTCTGAGGCTTCCTTGAAATGGGCCACATTGCACATTACTGGTTTGTTCTGACATAACTTCTCTTTGACAAAGGAGGGCAAGAGTAACTGCATACAGCACTTGCTGTAGGTGAGAGGATCGAACCCTCCAAAACACCTCCCAAACCACAATCACTTCTGCCTGTCTACCAAGCATGGCCAATGACACAAAGGTGAGTAGAAGGTGTGTGAAAGTCATCACAAAAAATATTGTTATGATTTCCACGCACGTTTGGGACCCCAAGAGGAACACTTGTTCAAAAAGAAAAGAAATACCACCCAATGGGAGGCCCCCAAAACACACATATGTCCCGGTGCGTAAATACAAATAAAAACACACCGCAGATATCCAGTCCGATCCACGGTGCTTCAGAGTCACACAACCTCTCCACTACTCCACATACATCAGTAGTGGGATCTCCCTCCTGTTCTCCCGGGTGGGCCCGACCATGCAAGCAACAAGGAAGGTCCCAGCAAACAAAAATCCAAAAAATCTGAAAACAAACTATGTTATGCAGAAAAATAAACTGAACAACTTTTGCGCCGGATTTAAAATAAAAAATGATTTTAAAACATATATATTCGGTCTAAGCAGGTAGGGGTGCTTCATGTGGGACCAGTCATCCAGGCTATTTTATTGTTTTGGCATCCTGGTTGGTTGCTTCCCGTTGTTCGGCCTTTTGGAACGCGGGGCGGTGCTTGCATGTGGGAATCGTCATCCGGGATTGTTTTTTATACCCGTCCTCCAGGCTCTTTTTTATTTTTTTGCAGACAAGAATGTTTGACATCCTGGTTGGTCTTGTCCCGTCGTTTGGCCTGTGGGCCGGGGCGGTGCTTGGCTGTGTGCAAGTGGGTCGATACGACACACGGGGGTGGGGCAGCCGCTGCTCAACCTACATCCACGTGGGCGGCCTTGTACGCAAGAGGTTCTGAACAGGGGGAGTTGTAAGGAAGAAGAGTAAAAACGAATTAAGGTTTTTTTTGTTTTCCTTGTTTTCTTTCTGTTTTTTTGCGTTGGCGCTCTGATATCATGTGACAATTTATTTATATATATATCGTCACAAATATATGTATATATATTGTCACAAAGATGTCAGAGTGCAAAAACGAAAAAAAAAAAAAAAAAACAAGAAAAAATCAATTCATTTTTTATCTTATTTTTTAATTCTTTTTGGCCTGGCCGGGCAAGTGGTCCCGGCAAGGACTTTCCTGGATGTATCTGACCGCAATTTTCCTCAGGAGTGCAGTCGACAAAAGTCCAAGTGTGAGTATGCCCTCGGGAATTGTTTGTTTCTGCAAATAAAAAAATGTAAATAAAAAAACAGAGAATGGAGGGGGAAAAAAAAACTGCGCGCCAATCAAAGAGAAAAAGGCCAACGAAAATTCTCAGAAAAACAATTGACTCAACTCACTCCCACGTTTCCCCACGTGTCACCGTCCCCTGGCCAGCATTCTCCCGTCTCCCAAGAGAGTGAGAGAGAGAGAGAGAGGGATAGAGTGCCTGGGAGAGAGAGAGAAAGAGAGAGAGAAAGAGAGAGAGAAAGAGAGAGAGAAAGAGAGAGAAAGAGAGAGAGTGAGAGAGAGAGAGAGATTGAAAGAGAGAGAGAGTGAGAGATAGAGAGAGAGGGATAGAGTGCCTGTGAGAGAGAGAGAGTGAGAGATAGAGAGAGAAGGATAAACTGCCTCTGAGAGAGAGAGAGAGAGAGAGAGAGAGAGAGGGCGTCCGATCTCGCGGGATTAGCGGAATTTATTTTTAATTTTTATTTTTAAGCGCGGGTGTAATCCTCTCTTTACTTCTATTTATTCTTTATATTCCTCTGTTATTTACCGTCTTTTCTACCCGAATAGAACGCCCGCGCTCTCATTTTAGCTGTGTATTTGCCGCAACTTTCAGTCCAGATGCAGCGATCATAACGGGGGCGTTCTATTCGAGTGAAGACGGAAGTTTTTTTTTCCTCAGAAACTTTTTTTTTTTTTTTTTTTTTTTTAAAAGGGAACAAAAGAACACATCAAAAAGACACCCTTTCTCATTTCCCACTCATTCCGATCCCGACCCCGACAGTCTCCCTCTCCTACCTCCTAGTTCTCCCCCAGGGCGCGTTATCCTTCGACTCTCTCCCTCCCCCACCCCCCTCTTTCCTCCTCCTCCTTCTCCTCCTCCTCCTCCTGCTCCTCCTCCTCCTCCTCCTCCTTCTCCTCCTCCTTCTCCTCCTCCTCCTCCTCCTCCTCCTCCCAGCTATTGAGGGGGATGGGCCGTATACGGATCTCGACTCCCTTCACTTTCGTTTGCGCACCCATAACTCACCACGGCCACTTAAAATTTTATTTTGTATTTCTTTTCGGGGGGCAGTTAATTCCACTTACAATGGGCCTCGCTCCACTACTCACCAACTGTGCGTCATTAGAATGAATCTTCCGCTAGAACATGTAAAGATACACCACTTTTTTTTTTGTCTTTTGTCCATTAGGTGAGTCGTGGAGCGAGGCCCAATGTTAGTAAACAGCTACTGGAAAAAAAAAAAAAAAAAAAAAAAAAAAAAAATCAAAGCAATTGTTTCAGTAAAGACCACTTGTATTTATAATCACCCTGAATTCAAAATACGCGCGAAATCTTTTT